CAAGTCGAAAAGCTTAGATTGAGGTTTTAATCATCTTTAGTCAAGGATATATATATATATATATATATATATATATATATATATATATATATATATATATGAATTTTATGTTGGAATGTCTCAACATAAGGAAATTCTATATATGGGTCCATTATTTGCGTTCTAAAATTCGATTATGATAACGGGATCCCTTTTCATAATATGAATTATGAGAACATGGCAAATAGAAACAAAAATATTATAACAAAAGACTGTTCTAGTATCATGTCTTTATGTGAGACTCATGAATTGTGTCTCATATGCTTCGGATATAGGATCGATTACACGTGCTATAATATTCATCCCTTTTAAAATTTTCAAATGCTCAGGGCATTAAGAGGGGAAAAGTCTAGAATTGGATATGACTAAAGTGATTAAGAAATTGTCGAGGACAATCTAAGGATTACCATAGATTGGTTGCTTAGGGACAGTTGGAAGTTTAGTGTTAAATTTTGGAAGGACCATATTGACATATTCTGAAAGGAGGCAACTCTTGTTGAGAAGTGATAATCAAAATGGGAATATGGAAATGTTTCATAGGCGGAAGTTATTCGATCTGTGTAAGATTAGAAAACTTAATGCAAGAAATATGTTCAAAGCAATGTACTTTGAATATGAGACTTCGTTTCCATTGGAATACTCTATAATGACTGTTGACAAGTCTTTGTGACTTTGTGCATAATCATTACAAGAGGATCAGTGCATATAAGTTTAAAATATAGCAGATTTCGGTAAATGGTAGGAATTTGGAATTCTACATTTATGATAAGGATTTAGGATTGTGAAATGAGAATCATTGAAATTATGTTCACTCGATATATTTCACAAAGTAAAGATCATAGACAAACATAGTGTGCATACTTGGAGTATGGCATAACTATTGTTTAGACAAAACATAGTGTGCATGCTTGGAGCATGGCATGACTGTTGTTTTGATTCAAGTATAAAGTTGATTATTCGAAACATTATGCAATGAATAATGTGTAATCAATATGGTGATAAGAAAAAGGTGTTCTATTTACATTCATAAGTTCTAAGACCATATTGGATTCAATTATTCTTGTGTTTCACTTTGCATGTTTTGACTTCCAGAATAACTAGATTATTCATTCTGAATGACTAAGCTATTTAAACTCTCCACAGTTAGTCATATGTTGGAAGTAGGTATGAATTAAGATTGTCATGAATTGGGTTTGTAGATGTCTAAGATGTTAGACATAGTAAGAGTTTCTACAACATTCATGAGTACTCATAAGTTCTGAGTATTGGATCCAACCCATGCTCTTTTGAATCATGTCACACCCCGAAAACCGAAGGCGGAAACGTTTCGGGGCGGAGGACGTCATGTAAAGTATCACAACCAATGTACATAGCAAGCATAGTCAACACAACCATTACATTGCATAGAAGTATTTACATTTGTTTGAAAGTAAAGTTACACATGATTATAGATATATACATCCAAAATGAAGAAAAGTAAAGATGAGACTGCTAAAATGCTCTGTCTTCTCCAAAAGGTCATGGGATACATGTCTAATGAGGACCTGAGAATACAACCAGTTTTAGAAATTTCAGCATAAAGCTGGTGAGTTCATAAGCGGTTTGTTTCTGTAAAAGAACAAGTTTCCTTTGGTTTACTGAAAAAGTTGTTATCCAATAAATCCCATATGTTCTTATATGAAAAGTTTATTTATCCATTTGTTACACAATTTGGTTAAGAATAGTTTAGTTATCCCAGGAAAAACCCTTATTTTCCTTGAAAGTTTGTAGTTGGTTATCGATTCGGAATGCATTGTACAAGTATCTACCGTACCTATAGTGTTAAGATAAGTATTCTAAAAGCCTGGTTATCCTTGAAAAGTACATTTGTTTTAACATGTATAAGTAAGTAGAAAAGTTTTCATAGTCTAAGTTGCGAGTTCCATAACCATACATTAGACTAGATAAGGCTTGTACTAGGCCAATATCGTTGTTATGACTTTTGTCACCCGTAGACCTGTCGGTCCGACTGTAGCTAGCAGCCAGGTATAGGGTTGTCACACCCCAAAAACCAAAGGCGGAAACATTTCCGGGGCGGACTCCACGTTAAGTATCAAATCCAATGCACATAGTAAGTAAAGTAATCAACCATTACATTACATATAGAATTTACATTTGTTTCAAAAGTAAAGTTGTACAAGTAATATACATATGCATCATATTAACAAAAGTAAAGACGAGATCTTCAGTACGCTCCGTCTTCTCCAAAAAGGATTGTTGGGTACCTATTTATCGCTGACCTGAGAATACAAGCGGTTTGAAAATCAGCATAAAGCTGGTGAGTTTATAAGATGTTTGTTTTCTGAAATTGTACTAGTTTCCTTTAGTTTACCAAAGAGGTTGTTATCCAAGAAAATCCCATATTTTCTTATGTAAAGTTCGTTTACCAAAGAGGTTGTTATCCAAGAAAATCCTATATTTTCTTATGTAAAGTTGGTTTACCAAAAAGGTTGTTATCCAAGAAAATCTCATATTTTCTTATGTAAAGTTGGTTTAGTTATCACTTGCACTACTAGAAAAACAGCCTTTTACGACGCGCAATGTGTGTCGTAAAACGCTCAGACGACGCGCAAATGCGTGTCAAGGAAGGCCATGTCATAACGAAAGACGACACGCTTTTGCGCGTCGTCTATAGACGACGCGCATTTACGACGCGCATTTATGACACGCATTTACGACACGCATTTATGACACGCAATGCGTATCGAGGAAGCCCCTGTCATAAAGGAAGACGACACGCATTTGCGTGTCGTAACCTTACGACGCACGTTTAGGACATGCAATGCGTATCATTAAAGGCCCTGTCATAAATGAATATGACACGCATTTGCGTGTCATAAACTTCAACAAACATTTACGATATACATTTACGACACTTCTTTACGATACTCAATTACGCATAATACAAAAATGTGAAAACAAATATATACCAAAACAATCAATTTCATCCATAACATCATGTCAAAAAATTGTAATACATTGGTATTAAGGGGATCCGATTGTACATTGTTATTAAGAGGTTTTCCCTAACTATATAACCTAATACTACATTGCTATTAAGGAACACCTTCTTGTTTCTACTTCTTATTGTTATGCTTCTGTTTCCACATAATACCTGTTTTCATCATCAACACATTAGTACTCAGAAAGGCTTCAAGCATCATCAATTTTATGTTATAAAATATTAAAATTTAATACACACGTAGTAACATACCTTTTTCCAAGAATCCAAGTTTCAATACAACCCATACCTGTATAAAATATTAAAATTTAATACACATGTAGATTATAAAAGTTAATATTAAAGAGTGAAATAGTGCTACTTTCCCCCCAAAAAAAAAGCAGCACTTTCTATTCTATGTATGTATGTATGTATGTCCTTCTTTCTAAAACCATTTATACATTAAGAATAAGATAAAACAAAACAATTCTATGTATGTATCTATGACCTTCTTTCTAAAACAAAAAAAATCAACAATTTCTATTCTATTCTATGTATGTATGTATGACCTTCTTTCTAAAACAATCTATGTATGTATGTATGACCTTCTTTCATGTATGATTAAATTAATGAGAATCCCCCTTAAATGTAATTCTGCAATGAATTACCAGTAAAACAGTTCCTCAAGTTCAAACAAAGGATTCAATGTAAACTAACAAGTAACAAGACATCACATGCAACATACTTTCACCTAAATTAATCAAATGGTATATTTCAGTTTTCATTATTAAGCATCTCAAAAAGCAAATTGTTGTAATTAGAATAAATACCAACTTTGGACAAGGAGTCATCATGGCATAAGTGTTGCAAGAAATATCACAAATTTTACCCTCTTATTGACAAGAAGAGTGCCTTTTACAGCAGAACCCTCATTAAACAAGCGACATTGGATTAGCAATGGCTGGAGAAATTATTAGGAGACAAAATATCATTACATTTTATCAAATACTTTTAAAAATATTCAGATAGATTATAACTTACAAAGCATGAATACTAGTTACCGGATCTTTAATTGTCACCTCTCTTCCTCCAAGACCCAATGATGCAATCTCAGGTTTGACCGAGTCAAACTTCTGCCAAATTGAAAAACAGTATCAGAACAAAAAGAAAAATATAAAAAGATTTATGTTCTTACACAGTTCAACTCTGCGTCACTCAATCGCCACCTGTCATGTGCTTATGCAAGCAACATGGGTAGCACAAGAACGAAGGGTTTGTTGAAATCCTTGCTGGTCAATAGATGCATCTGTGATTTCAAAAAGGGTAAAAATGTCATGAAACTATTTATGTTCAATTTGTTACAGGGGATTGTTGATGCAGTGATGGAATATTTGTGGCTATTTGAAGAGCACAATGTTCTAGAGTACCTAACCCTTGCTGGAGATCATTTATGCCTAAAACCTCATATAATAAACTCATAATCTTATTATCATCTCTCAATGCATGCTACCCTCACGTAACACATCAATCATGTCATATATCTTCTTATCTGCTTTTGATTGTATCTACATTTATTTCAATATATTATTACATGATTTATGTAACAAATATTACATTGTTATCAATTACCATTATTTTGTTACAAACTTTTTGTAATTCTTTTTTTTAGCAATTAACATTAGTTAAATGTATGAAGATTATTTAGAAAAATAAAATAAAAATAAAAATTAGCACCTTCTTAGCGAGAAAAAGTGTAGCATCAATAGCACCCTCTGCATAAATTGATCTCCCACAAAAACTGTGCTGAAACTCAAATGAAACTCTACAAATAATAATAACAATAAATTAAGATTTTTCATAGAGAAATATTCAAAATCAATTAGTTGATTATAATATGAATCAAAAATAAAAAGCTTACATTCCATCAGGAGATGTGAGATGATACATTAAGATGCTCCTCTGAAACACAAACCAATTCAATCTATTGTTTTGGATCTCGTATCAATTGTACCTGATTTCATGTTGAAAGATAATTCAAAATAATAATAATAATAATAATAATAATAATAATAATAATAATAATAATAATAATAATATGAATATGAATATATTAATTTGTAGTTCTGGTTACTCGAGATGACATGACAGAACATAGCATGTTGTCCTGCGTTTGGTGGACTGTGACTGGGATAGATGTTGATGTGAATAAATTTGCAATTTTTATCTCATATGTGCAAAAGACGTAAATGGCCTCCTCATACCTCATCTATGTCAAAGGAAACTCCAAGTTTCTGGAAACATGAAATGGCTTTTGCTGTTCTAGATGTGTCCAGCTTTGTTGATTGATGAGATTCCAACACCTGTTTGGTTTCAAAAACAAAAATGATGTTTAAAAAATTATTTAAGAAATTAAAGGTATGTTTGGGAAAATAAAAGAGGATAAATATGTAAAAAGAAACGGCACCTCTAGGGTATGTCCAGAGAATGCTCTAGGAAATTGCTTGGACATTATGTCCATAGCTGTAAGAAATGCCACAACCTAAAAAACAAATGAGAAGAGATTAAACATCCGATTTTTTTTTAAATTCACCTGTTTTCCCATTTGAGGAGATATGACTGCATAAAGCTTTCCTTCCTCCACAGTTTTATACAAAAGATCCCTATCTCCACTAGTAGTTCCCATCACAAAAGGCACTCCAGTTTTACAATACAATTCGACATTATCTGCATAACATAACATGGTGAATTCAATAAACCAATATGATAACATGTAAATGATTTGATATCTCTGTATAACACAAAATTACACATTTACCATTTACAGCATTAGGTACAGTGAAATCTACAATGATGAGATCAGGATGTTGTTCAAGTGGAGATGTTGTTCAAGTAGGATGCTGGAAAAAGCTAATCCAACCAAATCTTATCTGCAAGTCACGCAATCAAACAAAGGAAGAAAATAATCAGTCAGTATCAAACATATATATATATATATATATATATATATATATATATCCAAAAATACAAGTCAACAAACATAAGTATTATGAGTGTCTATAAATAAAGAGTAAAAAACCACTTTTTCCTATTGATTTGTATTCTATTAGTAGCAACTATGCAATCAAGAAAATGAAGTTTCTTTGATGGTAGTGAAGGAAAGTTAGATTATCTCCAAGTGCAAACACATAATGACCATCTTTATGATCTTGGCGCCATGGGGGAGAAGCATTTCGAGCCACACGCTTAACAAGGGGAGAACTAATGTGGTCTGATGGTGAAGACAACTTGAAGATATCAACATCAAAGAGACCGCACTGCTCTAATACTCTCCCAAGAAACCGCACCATTTGGCCACTTTAATTTTGATCTTCTGAAGTATTTTTCTGCTCCTTGGCTGCAACAACCTTAACTTTAAAATAGCTACAACTAATTAATTAACTCATGCACTTGCAAGCAAAAGCTGGGGACACAAGCCATACAAGGGCAAAATAGGAAGATCCAACTTTAAAATAATGCCCCACATCAAGAATAATAAGCCATTGCAATAAACCACTACCACCTTTCAGCTTCTAATTTGGCCCAATCTTGTTTCACCATATGAGAAAGAGAAAGAGAAAGATTCTCCATTTTTTTGGATATATATTTTTGTAATATAAGATAACCAATATGTTGACCAGTCAAAGCCCTGAGGAAAGCAGGGGAAATTAATAAACCTCCAACTAGCCATGGATTTGAATTGAAGGGAACTGGAGATGATGATATGAAGGGTAGAATGAAGGCAACACCAATTGAGAAACTTAAAGAGAATATCCACATAAGCAGGATGCTAAAAAAATGATAAGGATAATGAGATTCCAGATGTTGAGCCACCCATCATAACGGATGTACCCCATATCATCATGGATTGCATTATCACTGAGTTGTATAACATGTTGGCTAAACTTTGTTTAAATACAACCATGTATGTTCCCTGAATCATCACATCAAAATTAATATATAAAGATTTAATCATTTACTATTGAATATTGATTAAAGTTAAATTAAATGTACCAAAATGTCAAAATATATGGCGGGATCATGTTGATTTTTGTTATTGGATGCCATTTTAGTGAGCTGAGAAGATGAAACAGAGTGAAGAAGAAAAGTAAGCACGTTTTCTCCAAGGTGTTCAAGGGAACCCGGTTTTAAAAGTTTCAACTTGTCATTCTGCAAAAGTTTATTACTTTTAATTTGATATAATATTTGAGAAGTTATTTATAATAATAATGATTTGAAATTCAAGAATACCTTTATGTGATATACAGCTGTATTGTCTGCATAAGCAAAGTCAAGACCTGAAAGACCAGCAACCTTTTTGTAAACTTGAAAATCAGTAGCAGATTTTATGACACCTGATGTAAAAAGATCCTGCACCACTAAATAAAAATCGAACAAAAAAACCATGAATTTGAGATAAAATAAATAAAAAGAAAACTAACATTTTATATAGTTTAAAAAAGGAATATCACCTGAGCAAAAATTTTACCAGAGGGGTATTTTGCTACCAATGCATAGTTCTCAATCGCCCATGGGTTCGGACCCGCCTGTCAAAATTAAGTGACAATTGATAAATTAATTAAGAAAATTAATTTTTTTTAAAAAGGAATCTCATTAAACACGACCTGAAAAATAGCAGATGCTCCACCATCGCCCATGGCTTCCAAGTCTATAGCCATATGTATACTTCTACTCCATGGATGCTGTAAAGATTTTATAAGTTAAGTTATAACTTAAACACATGATTAAAAATAACGGTAAGAGAGAAACACCTGAGTAATAAAGCTATGGGCTCCATTTAAGCCTTCGTCTTCCCTGGTGTTAAACAAGAAAATAACAGAGTTCTTGAAACCATGAGCCCATTGGGAGATTCCTCGAGCAAGCTCTAACATAACAGTTGCACAAGAACTACAGTCAGTAGCTCCTTCCCTTTATAAACATAAGACTCCATTTTCATTTTGAAGTTGATTAAAAGAATAAGAGGTAAATCATAAATGGAAGAAACTTACACTGAGAAGACAGTGTCTATGTGGGAAAAAATCAAAATCGCACTATCTACTTCTTCAGATGTATATTTTGGCGAGATTCTTAAAACAACATGTTTAAGATCTAAATAGATAGAAAAAAAATCATGTTTGCTTGTAAAGTCCACCGACAAGCCTATTAGCACTAGAACTTGCGTGAAAAAGATCAACATCGACGTCGACTTCCCAGTGAGCTGTCGTCTTTATTTGCTTGTAAGTGCATAGTTAATTAATTAGTTGTAGCTATTTTTAAATTAAGATTGTGTAGAAAGAACAAAATCATATTTCAATAATTATATTGAACTTTTTTTTTTTACCAAAATAGGTCTGATCTTACTTGGCTCTCTGAACCATATGCTCTGGTAAAGAAAACAAACCGTAAATTATTCAACAAGTATGCAGCCAATACTCCACATGTCACATGGGTAGCTCCATCCATTGCATAGAACTTTCCATAATTGTATCCCAAATCTGAGCTACTTCCAGTAAGACCTTTATCATCTGGTACATTGGGAGTAAGAACCTAAGCACCAAGGTTAAAAATGTCAATACATAAACACAGGATGAAAAAAAAAATGACAAACACATATAAAAGTCAACCTACCAACTCAGAATTCTGACTTGGGACAGAAGTAACAGGAGGACCAGATGGACAAGACAAGATTACAGTGGCACCCTGCAAAACAAAACCAATATTCTAATCAGATACTGTTTTCAACCATTAAAACATGTATTTACATTTTACACTAATACTAAATTTATAAAATATAAAAACATCGCATACCTCTTTACTCCTGATGGCCATTTGTCCTGGAGGAGAAGCAGGGAGTGATTGAGAAGGGAGGGAAACCAATTTTCCCCACCCAATATTCAATTCATAATCATAAACAATCACCCCTGTAACAATAAATAACATCATTAATTTTCTTAATATAAGTATAAATATAAACAAACGAAGAGTTAAAAGGGGATACTTTGTTTAACCTTGCATTTCATCTTTTGCAGCTTGTCCATCTGCACGATTCATAAAAGCCACAAAACCACAGTTTATGACGTTTGCGTTCCTCTTCTGTTCTTGGCCACATGATCTTCATACTAGAAATAGTTGAGAAAACGACAAACCACTGGTTGAAGCACCTGACTGCAACCCTCAATAATGGAAACACCAAGCTGAACAATTTCATTATATTTGTTCTAAGAGGCAAAAAATCAAACAGTTGGTGTGCACTAAATACCCATTTATTCATCAGTACCTGAAAGGGCAAGGTTAAAGAGAGTATCAATGTCAATATCAGCTGCTTCTTTGGCGTCAAACAGGATGGACGGACGGGTAAACCATCTTTTGAGAGGGTCTGTGTCAGCTTTGACAATTAACCTGTTTGCCTGCAGTGAGGAGCGACAAAAAAATCAGTTATGTTTCTCCTTTGTTCTCTCGGCTAGATAGAGATATCGACAAGAGAGGGGTGAAATTACAGAAGGCGCAACAAAAAAATCAGTTATGTTTCTCCTTTGTTCTCTCGGCTAGATAGAGATATCAACATCAAAGAGAGGATTCAGAGAGGAATTTACAGAATGCGCAGAGAGAGGGGTGAAATAAGATCTAATGGTCTTTGAACTCTGGGAATCAAGCCCTGCGACTTCTGATCAACACAAGGAAGATAACGTTATTGAGAGGGAGGCTTGTTGTGCGAGACAGATCACAAAGAAGATTTGATGGTTGTTAAACCAGACCTAGGGCTTGTAAAGTTGAGCATCTGTGGCGGTCTCCGTCGAGCTAAGGTTAGCCCAAGCTCGCCGGCGAAAAGAGATGAGTCGCGATTGTTGATAGATGAGGTGAGCCAAGGTAGCGAACGTTGCAGAGAGCACTCCCATCTTGAAAAGAACCCTAGAATGATCCCTTCAATTTTTTAATAAAATAAATAGTCCGGAGGCGCGTTCAAGAATTATAAACTGACATACTTACACGACACACCTTTTATGATGGGTGCCCTCCGTGTTTTTATTTTTACTTTTTTCTGACATAAATTTTAGGGCGCGTAAAAATGCGCGCCCTAATTCCTTCAAAAATTTGGAGAGATGACATTATTTTGACCTCACACACTTTTGCGTATCGTAAATTCGTGCGCGTCATAAATTGCGTGTCATTAAAGGTCTTTTTTCTAGTAGTGAATTGTTACCAATTCGTTTATGTGTTGTATTTTTACCCCAGGAAAATCCCATATTTTCCTAAATGAAAGACCGGTTGAATATTACAGAGTATTGTTTAATACATAAAACTATATATATTGAGGATCATGGGATTACTATCCCGAACTAGATATGAATTAGTTTAAAATGTGCGATCTATAGATAGAGAATAGTTTGAAAACCATGGGACTCACATCCCGTACTAAGTACAAGACAGTTTGATATACATGAAAATATAAATTGAAAACCATGAGACTACCGTCTCGTACTAGATACGATATAGGTTGATATTCATGGAAACATGGATTGAAAACCATGGGACTACCGTCCCGTATTAGATACAGTATAGTTTAATATTCATGGAAATATAGTTTGAAAACCATGGGACTACCGTCCCGTACTAGATATAGTATAGTTTGATATTCGATGAAATATAGATTGAAAACCATGGGACTTCCGTTCCGTACTAGGTATAGGTTCAAAACCATGAGATTATCATTTCATATTAGATATAGTTTCAAAACCATGGGACTACCATCCCGTACAAGATATAGGTTGAAATCATGGGATTATTATCCCGTACTAGATATAAGTTAAACACCATGGGACTACCATCCCGCAGAATATATATATAATCGATAGACTGGAAACCATAGGACTATCATCTCGTACCGGACATGGAAACTATAGATAGAAAGTAGATATGGAATCGAAACAAAGTCAAATCAAACCCAAAGCGATACCGTGAATAAACTTATATTAATATGTATTGTGAGTCGGGTAACCATGCTGATACGACAACGAGACCTCCTTGACGCTTGTCAGATGTCGAATGATATCCAGAAATTTGTCACCACATGCGTGCCCGCCTAACTGTAGCTAGCAGTTAAGGTGTGGGATTGTCAGTCCCGAATAGATCTATTCACAAATTCCTCGCTCTCCCTCCAGGAGACTTTGGTTACACTTCCGGGGAGGATTTACTGATCATCCATACAAGGTAGTGACGAACTCACAAGGTATTACTAAACTATTCACAGGGTTCTCATATGATATCAAACATACAAAAGATTATGAAACATAATACAGTGAATACAGCTATATACAATGAAATCATCTGGCAATACACTCAAAATGAAACGGAGATAAACTGTACCGGACATAGTTTATCTAATAACTTTGTATACATATCAGAACGTGATGAAACAAGAACTAAAGAACCCCAAATTATTACCATAATAATTTGATTAGTTTGGTTATTTCCTTTACTGAAATTCATATAGTTGTAGTTGATAAATCATCCCTTATGCTCAGCATAATACATAAGGGGTAAAGGTATTTATAAGTTTGCCAGATATTATTTAAAATACATCCATGTTATGTATTGAAAACAATTGTATTTTGCTTGTATTCCCCCATGAAAACATTGAAAAACCATTGAAAATGGGTAGGGGTATGAACTCACCGGACGAGAAATGTGACGATTTCGGATGCTAAACGTTGGATCGGGGCTTGAAAACGTACGAGATTCCTATGTATAATGAAAAGATACACATTTGTATCTAATTAGGACTTAGATTACTTAATTGTTAGGGACAAACACGTCTAGTTGCGGAAACACCTCATTTCAAGTGTTTGGAAGGACCCGGGTGACATCTACGGACATGTAATGGCACTAGGGACTTGGAATTTGAGTTTACTCCCCAAGAGTAAACTCATATAAGAGTTTTCAGCCCATAACACCCATTCCCCATGAGTTTACGGCCGTAAACTCATGGTGGGGTGTTTTTGGTTGTTAAATGGCTTCATATGACTAGGGAAAATTTGCTAGGATTAAATCTAAGGCCTTGGAATGGATTAACTTCACATAGGGACCATTTATTGGAGTTTACGACTGTAAACATGGAGTTTACGGCTGTAAACTCCCCCATACATAGAATCCTTAATGTTTTTGGTCCTTAATCAATCACATGTGATTCTAAAAATCCCTACAAGCCTTGAAATGAATTTGGGGCACCAATTGACACACTTTTAGGAGTTTACGGCCATGGGACACATGCTATGGCCGTAAAATCTCAAATGATGGGTTTGGTTGAGTTTAAGGCCCCAAAAGTATTTTTGGTTGGATCTATGATTTATTCTAAGGCTTTTGGTGGTGTTGGATGGCTTTTTAACACATTGGAAATGAGTTTACACCCATGTTTGAGGATTTTACAGCCCAAGCACATACCTTGGCCGTAAACTCATACAAATCCCTCAAAATTCATGTTTGAAGTGTTCTAAGTCCATTACCAAATTTCTAAAAGTCATATCCAGGTCTAGTTTGAGTCATGGAAGAGTTTAAGGGCTTAAAAACCCTTTAATTATGGGTTTACGGCCTAAACACCATCCAGGGCCATAAACTCATATACAAGGCTCTAAATTATAGTTTAAGGCATTCTAGGTCCATTCCATAAAGTCATCTAGCCATATCTAAGGTCCAGTTGTGGTTTGGCAGGGTTTAGTTGCTCCAAAAACCCCCATTTAGATGAGTTTACGGTCTAGGGCTGTTCTAGGGCCGTAAACTCATGATAATGGTCCTAATCCATGGCTTAAACTCGAATTTGAAGGCTAGAGAGGTTGCATAACAAGTTAGGGAAGGTACGTCAAAGATTTGGAGCCTTAAATTGATGATTTGGACCCTTAAACTTGGATTTAGGAGAGAGGTTAGAGAGAGTAGAGAGAGGAAGCAAAAGCTTCAAATGGATGTTTAAACACGTTTAAATAGGTCCTAAAACTTGGACACAGTGGAATTCTACCCGATACCGGCATTAAACGGGGCTTTAGGTCGCACCCGATTAAGTTTCCGTAACCCGGCGGGGACGTTTCTAACCTTTAGAAATAAACATTTTTGGGCTAATTTCATGAGTTCCAAAGGGTTTTGGACACTCATTGGATTCAAATAAACATATAAATTTAAATAATTTAACCCAAAACGAAACGGAACGAATTGACAAACGGCAAATTTTTACGGGTAGAATGGGTTTTTCGATGATGGAAAACTTCGGGTTGTTACAGGGGTAGTCAATCCCGTATAGATCTATACACTCAAGTCACATTCTCCATCCAGGAGATTCTGGTTACGGGGGTAGTCCTACACTCTCGTATCCGGGGGAGTGTTACCAAGGACGTGTCTCCAATCTTAAGATTAATGAAATTGGTCCTTCACTCTCGTATCAAGGGGAGTGTTACCAAGGACGTTAGAAAATCCTGTTGTTTAGTCCTCCACTCTCGTATCCAGGGGGTGTTACCGAGGACGTTAGAAAATCATGTTGGTTAGTCCTCCACTCTCGTATCCAGGGGAGTGTTACCGAGGACGTTAGAAAATCCTGTTTATTAGTCCTTCACTCTCGTATATAGGGGAGTGTTACCAAGGACGTATCAAAAGTTCTGAAGTTGATGCTTTTAACACTAATTTTGTGTAAAATCATTTGTGAAATATAAAATATAGCATTTTATAATGAGTTTCGCAAATAGTTTGAAAACTAACTCTGCAAGTTAAATGCTTGGTTAATACGGCTTCCAGTGTTAAAAGCATACGAAATATGAAACATTTCATAAGAAATCATAAGTTTGAGTACAAGATATTCTTGTACTTTTGCTTGTATTCCCCCCTAAAAACATTGAAAACATGGAAAAAGTGTAGGGGTATGAACTCACCAGATAAGAAATGTGTCGCTTAGGATGCTAAGTGTCAGTTCGGGGCTTGAATGCACGCAAGGTTCCTATGTAACATGAAGAGATACATAATTGTATCTAATTATACTTTGAACTACTAATTAGATAAGAATATACACTCCGAGGCGCGAAAACACTTCATTTCAAGTGTTAGGAGTGATCCGGGTTGCATCTAAGGAGGTGTAAGGCCTAGATATAGAGTTTGCTCTTCAAGAGTAAACTCCTAAGGAAGATTATGGACCATAGACCATATCCCCATGAGTTTACGGCCGTAAACTCATGGGTGGTGTGTTCTTGGATGCTTAATGGTCTTACAACACTTGTGGAATTAGGCTAGGTTCAGTTCTAAGGCATTGGAAGGGATTAAACCATCAAAGGGACCATTTTAAGGAGTTTACGGCCGTAAACTCACACATGCACTTTCCTTGTGTAATGGTCCTAGGTTAAGCATAAGTGATTCTAGTCCAATGTACAAGCCATGGAAGGAAGTTAGGGCACCATTTGACCACTATAGAGGAGTTTACAGCCCAGGAACCATTCCTTGGGGGGTTTACCGCCATAATCTCCTAAGGGGGAGGTTTCTTTCATGTTTAAGGTCCCTAACACAATCATCGTTGGTTCTAGACATTATTCCAAGGCATAGGAGGTGTTTAAGGGGCATTTTAACACCTTAAATGGTGTTTACGGCCTTAGAAGGGGTGTTTACGGTCCAAGCATGCTCTTGGGCCGTAAACTCATTTTTACTCCCCAAACATCAAGATTTTGGTGTTCTAAGTCCATTCATGTAAGCCCCTAAGTCATTGCTAAGCACCAGAAGTGGTTTGGGGCTCCAAAACCCCATTTAAGGGTGTTTATGATTTGGGATTGTTCCTGGGCCGTAAACACATGTCTTTGGTCCTTTTGGATGATTTAGACATGGATTTGAAGGTTAAACAAGCTAAACTATCAGCTAGGAGGGATTACTTACCAATTTGGAGCTTGAATGGGTGATTTTTGGATCAAAATTTGGATTTATAGAGAGAGAGTAGTGAGAGAGAGTGAAAAAGCTTCAAATGAAGTCCTCTCAACTTTATATATGGTTAGAGTTTGAGAAGCGGTGGAAATCTACCCGATACTGACGTTAAACGTGGCTTATGGTCGTACCTGATTTAGTTATCGTAACCCGACGTGGTCGAAACTAGAATTTTCCAATTAAAAATTGGGGTGTTTTTACGTGGTTTAATTTCGTTCCGACAATTAAAATAAAAACATTAATTTATTTTCCTAACCCAAAAGTTAATGGAAAATTTTCAATAAAATAAATTTTATTAACGGAAATGGATTACATCGACGGAATAAATTACGGGTTGTCACAAATCACTTCATGGATTTTATCACGAGTGAATCATGAGACGATAATACCTTATATTCTTCAAACCTAGAGATATGAGTTGTTGACTATGAGTTGAGTATACATTGATTGCATGAAAAAGCATTGGTCACTCGATGTTATAAAACGTGCATTTGTGTATGATTCAACAAGTAGTAGAACAAGCATATGAGTCTAAGTTTATCCATTCCTTGTACCCTTGAAGGGATAAAAACGATATATGTGGGCCCCTCGATGATTTAATGATGACACCCCAAAGTGCTTGGCCAAGCCTGGACTGATTTGATTTGTGCAATTAGTCGGTCATCATAAATCGGAAATTAGGAAACAACAAATGGACAGAGAGAATGATTATAATCCATGTCTCCGTCCATATGATATCTAGAAAGGAGGAATATATGATCCCTTATCTAATGGACACGTTATTGGTTTGTTCGGAGTTCAACAACGACTTTCAAGAGCTACGATTGTCGTTCAGGTTTTAAAGTCATACGCAATAATAGTTTTAGACTTATCCAAGTGGGAGACTATTGGATTAATGTCTAAGTCCATAACTATAATTGGTATGTACTTGACCCGACTTGGCATGGTCCATTTGGGTTGCATGGCATCGGAACAATTGGATATACAAAATGTGAAAAAAGGATACTAGTGATTTATATTAATATATTATAAGTTCTAATATATTAATATGAAATCATATTATTTAATTAGTATTGATCAAGAATTAATTTAGAATTAATTTAGTGATAAAAAAGAACTAATTAAATATGGACTCTTATATATAGTTGGTGGGCCAAGTTCATTTAGGATTAGGCTAAGTTTGCATGGATAGTCCATAGAGTTTTTAACCCATGGATCCTATAGAAATGAAAGGTTATAGGTATGAGGGTTTACATGAATGTAACCCTAATCCTCCACACTATATAAAGAGGTCCATGGTTCATGAAATGACACTAGTGGAACTAGTGTGTGTACACAAGAGGGCAAAACCGAATTTTGTACAAGTATCCTTATTCTCATGTTATTCCAAGTGTTCTTGATGTTGTGTGAACTATTTGAGGTGTCACACTTGAGACACTAGGCTCGTAAGCTCCATGAAATCAAGCTACAAAAAATAGGTATGTTATTCTACTAGATTTTGTATTACTTGTACTTCATAATATACTAGTTAGGATAATACCTTGAAAAATTGACATTTGCATGTATAATAGAGAAAACATAGATCCAAGGTATTTAGGGTTGCATGTACACTTTAGGAGTGTTAGAATGCTCAAAACCCATCATTATAGTACACGTATTTACCATTCATTTTATTTTATTCTTATCCAAGATTCGTGTAGCGTATTTCACTACATGTCATATCTGCTTAAGGGCTCCAAATGCCCTCTTGATATCCACTGTATATGATTCCTTCTTTTTTATGAATAACTTTTCCTTTTTCACTTTGAGGAACCAAGTATGTCTTCATAAATGTAGAATAATTAGGGTATATCCCATCATAAAGGTAGTAATCATATCTGTACGAATGCTTGTTCACCATGAATGACATATCCGATGCTTCGTCGGTCCAAATAATATTGAAAATAGGGGTTTGACCAAGAACATTAATGTCGTTGTTAGACCCCACAACTCTAAAAAATGAATGTCATATCCACAAATCCTGAGATGTAACAACTTCTGGTATTATACTTGGCACGCCTATATCACCTCGAGTAAATTGATCGCGCTACATATTTGGACATTTCTTCCACGATACATGAGATAAATAAATTCTTTTAATATTAAGTGTAGTAGGTTTACAAAAATATTCTTTGTGATAAACCTCACACACACATACGTAAAACCAATCTACACCATCAATTGCAGTCCTCTCAGATACTTTAAAGTACTCATCGGATGTATCAAAGGTTGTATCGTATCCCAAATATCTAAGCACAACCGCACATTTTTGTATACTACTAAAACCGATTCTTCATCTAGCATCAGGTTTTTGTTTAAAATACTCATAATGGGCCTCTAAAGCATTACTAATACGTAAAAATATAGTCTTACTTAGAAGGAAACGATGATGGAATGACTCATCATTATAAAGACAATTATCGACAAAGATATCACGTACCAATAATTCATGTGCATCTTGACGATCTCGATTGACAACCGATCTTGTATGTGTAACATTCATATATTCTTCATTGTTTACGTATTGCACAAAATTGTAGAATGTTAAAATGAATTATCCCTCATCATCCCAATCAAATTTTGTAAAGGAATCCATAAATATGTTTTTTAAAAGAGTATAAAAGAGATTAATGGTTTGGATGTAAATGTTTTGTTTATATAGGTAAGGTTTATATATTAAAAAAAATTAAATTAAATTTGCATTGTTCAATGGCTAGTTACAGTGGCGACTTGCTACCCTACCCATTCAGTTTGGTGGTTTGGGTTTATACTCGGTAGTAGAGGCTACGTTATATGCCTTTGTTGCCTCAAGGGCCCAATCTTGTGCCTTAGATTCTCTCCGCAACAAGCTTCCGAACATTGACCTTAGCAGTGTTACTACTAAGGACACCGCCCCCTAAATCCCATAATACACTGGCGAGTGTCATTTTTAGTAAAATTATCTAAGATATGGAAGTGAATTTCAATATGACGGCTCGACAGAAAGCAGTTTTCCAGTGTTTACGTGCACCACATGCTCAAGATTTTCTTCAAGCTATCCCTATAGATGGGATTGGCCAACATATGTCTCCGGTTGAGTATCGTACCATCCTCAAATATCAACTCATGATTCCAATATTCCCAGTCGATGAGATATGTCCGGTGTGCCGCAAGGCATGGTTGGACTCTTTTCGGCGAGCATGCAGTTCATTGCAAAGAACTTTCGGGGTTCAAATACAGGCACAATATGGTTAGAGATGTTTTGGTTGACATATGTAAGCGTGTCGAGGTTTCTGCCAAGAAAGAGACTCCTGTGAATTTCCTGACTGACCCGATAGAAGGAATGTCAACCCTTACACTGGCTGACGTTTGATTTTTAGATGAGTTGGAGGAAAACACGCATGTGTGGACCTTACATATTCCCTCTCGTAAGCTTGAGGGCCAGGGGTTTCATAGTGGGACAGGCTGCATTAAAAGCTGCTACATGCAAGGTCACCAAACATGAGAAATCATAAATGTAAAATCAACACGCGTTCGTACCATCTGCATTTGATACGTTTGGTTTTCTTGTGCCGGATGTTGTGGAGCTTCTTAGTAGACTACAACAGATCATGCATAACAATGTTATATCCCCTATATTTATGAATGTAATCTTCAAAAGAATTGACTTTACAATACAAAAGGGCTTAGCGGCGCAACTTGTTACCCGTTTGCTTTCTCATTCGTTGTTTGATGATAACTAAAAAGTTCAAAGTATGATTTATTGGATTATATATATTTATTAAAAAAACAGCTAGTCAATAGGTCAAAGGAAGAAAAGCTCATGATTCGTCATTCTCACTCATCGAAAACTTCATGAAGAACGACGACCACACCCAACCACAAACATCAAAACCGATACGCACAGACGCACAGACAACACTCATAACCATATAGACCAGAAACCATTTGTTGTAACCGGATAGCCTTATGTAAAACACTTTTTTTTTTTTTTTTTTTTTTTTTTTTTTTTTTTTTTCATACGGTGGTTACATCGCAAAAAAGAGACAACCTAACATCTAAAAGCTAAAATATATGAAAAAAAAATGCGACATTGGGTAACATGGGTCAAGGGTAAAAAATTTCCACCTGTGTGGACACGTGTCCAAAAGATAAGCAAGGTTGCACATATCTCCGTGCAACCTCACCTCATCATGACATTTCAGTTTTAATTTACACGTGATTCCTTCCTTTCATCTTCGACTCGTCTTCGACGCCGGAAATCTCTCTCTCTCTCTCTCTCTCGCTTGTTACCAAAATCACACGATTTTACTTTCTCTCATCATCAATTAATAAATCAATTTCCATTTCTATACACACAAATCTAAATCACACACCCCCACATCGACTTTTCAAAATCTTTCAAACCACCAAATACAGGTGATTCCAAATTTCTAATCCCATTTTGATATAGTAACTGGAGTAGTCGTCGGAGTTTGATTTCCAGATGGGTGGTGTGACATCGTCAATGGCGGCGAAGTTCGCGTTTTTTCCGCCAACTCCACCGTCGTATAGGGTAGTGGAGGGCGGCGAATCCAAGCTGAAGATGACTGATGTCCATGAGAGAGACAACGTCGATATTTTGAAGCTGAAGACCAAGAGGGGAACAGAGATTGTAGCGTTGTATGTTAAAAACCCGGCGGCGGCGTTAACAGTACTTTACTCTCACGGCAACGCCGCTGATCTGGGTCAGATGTACGATTTGTTCTGCGAACTCAGTCTTCACCTTCGAGTCAACTTACTGGGGTCAGTTCCATTTCTCATTTTCTCCCAATTTTCTTACCCTATTTAACTCGCATATCGAATCTAGGGTTTTCATAATCTTTAATTTCCCATTCCCATTACCTATTAAATCGATCTAAATGCTTGATTGAATGTAATCAATCTCAATTTTGCTAATTGGTGAAAACCCATGACTGACTGACATTCCGATGAACAGGTACGACTACACCGGATACGGGAGGTCCTCCGGCAAGGTAAAAATCCCTAAAACCCAGATCGAGAATTCGCTTAATTGCATAATTTCATAATATCGATATCAATTCATCAATCGTTAAAGTTTTTGTTTTTCTATTCGATCATCTTCATAGCCAACTGAACACAACACCTACGCCGACATAGAAGCTGCATACAGATGTCTCGTAGAAACCTACAATCTTAAAGAAGAAGACGTAATATTATACGGACAATCTGTCGGCAGTGGGCCCACGTTAGATTTAGCATCAAGGTTATCAAGATTAAGAGCTGTCGTTCTTCACAGCCCAATCTTATCTGGACTTAGAGTCATGTACCCTGTAAAACGAACATATTGGTTTGATATATACAAGGTTAGCACTTAAGATAATTTAGTATTATCGTATTTTATCAATAATTTATCTCCTTATGACTTATTTTATCATAATGTAGAATATCGACAAGATAAAATTAGTCCGGTGTCCCATTTTGGTAATCCATGTAAGTCTTTCATTTACACTCATCTGATATGACATGATATGACAGACTGTCTGTATATTAGACTGTGATTGAGACTGATGTCAATTCAGGGAACTGCGGATGATGTTGTGGATTGTTCACATGGAAAGCAATTATGGGAGCTTTGTGTAGAGAAATATGAACCTTTATGGGTAAAAGGTGGGAATCATTGTGATTTGGAATTATTCCCCGAGTACATAAGACATCTTAAAAAGTTTATATCCGCTGTTGAAAAGTCAAACCGTTTGAAAATTATATCCGGGTCAACCACGGATCATGGTGACAAGCATCGCGTCAGTACAGATTGTAGAGATAAACCGCGACAAAGCATGGATCGAGTTGACCACACGAGAACCAGTACGGATAGGAGAGAGAAATCGCGGTCGAGTGTTGACCGGAGAGAAAAGTCAAAGAAGGGTGTCGGTGCGGAAAGTGTGACGGTTGGCGTTGACCAACAGGAGAAAGCAAGGAACAGTATAGACCGGTGAGGCTATACTTTTCTAGTTTCTTTTTTGTTACTGTATCAGACATATTTTATGTCTGATGATACAGTAACAATTCGGATGAATTGTTAGGAAGAGGTAATGATTGTGTGATGATTGTTTGTTATTTATGGTGGCAGGTTTGGAGGTATGATGAGATCGGCTGTTCTGTGCAATATTGATTGTTTCAGGCCGAATGGAGCAACTGGGGTAGGAAAGTCGTAACGGATAAATTGTGAAGTTTATTTACTTGCAGAAATTTGATGGAGTAGTCAGATGATGTATTTATTTATTGGGTTAAACCAACATAAATGCTCATGTTTTCTTGTATCTATATCGGTATTGCGGTAACGAGTTTTTTTTTTTTTTTTTTTTTTTGAGAGTTTTTAATTTTTAGATTTTAAAAAGTATTGAGTTTAAATCTTAAAAAGAAACGTTTTCTTTTGTAAGGTATTTCAAATAGTCTTAACATTTATGATTTGTGTATTTTACTCTTTTAGAAATTTATGATTATTTTATCCAACAATTTCATACAAACAGAACTTATGAGGGTGTTTGGATGCAACACTAATACTTAATTTATGTTTTTTCTAATTAAACATATAACTTTGAACACTAAAATATTTTTTCTAATTGAACATATAACTTTGAACAATAAAATAGAAACTTTAGAACACTAGCTATGTTTGAAAATACAAATGGGGTTAGAAGAGATTGCTATTTACTAATTACAATGAAAATCACTTTGTTGTAGCTTTAAGCGTAAGCGTCATAAATGTCACGCTTCTAGTGGTTCACATCTAACACAAACAAAAGGAAAAAGGAAGATGATTGAGAGAGAGGGGGATGCTAGAAATTTCGGCTATCTTTTCGAAAGATGAGTGGTCGAAAATATTAGGGTTATGGTTCTATTTATAGTGAGGGTTATGGTTCTATTTATAGTGCAGTCAGAAAATTTTAGATAAGCCAAAATTTCAAGATTATCTTAAACCGGGTAATTATTCATCTTACTGTTTTACGCCAGAGATTATTGTAGAATCCCTTAGGCAACGAGAACCCGTCCAAGCTGTATGGATGGTTCTAGATTGCCTCTTGCTCAACTATTGAATAATTGCACTTCAGTCCCAATAGTTTTAATTAATTCTTTTAATCACAAAATTAATTCTAATTGATTTCTGATTAAATATTAATTAAATATTACTATTTCCAATTAATATATTATTCTCATAATATATTAACAAATTATTTATTTCAATTTATTATTCAAATAATAAATCAACATCTCTCCAAAAATCACATTGTCTAGTTGCTAGTCTTGAGGGCAACCCAAAAGGACTCTGCTACTATCAATTTAAGTATAAACCAATTATATTTTCTGGGCTTAGAGACCAAATCCAACAGTCCCCCACTTGGATAAGTATAATAACTATAATTTCCAGTATATTCTTCTAAACTGTTTAGCAAATTGTAGCTCTTAAAAGCTGTTGTTGAACTCTGACCTAATCAATTATGTGTCCTAAGATAAGTGATTATATAATCCTCCATTCTGGAAGATATCATTCAGATATGAGACATGGAACATAATCAATCTCATTGTCCAATACTTTATTTCCCGATTTCCGATTTGTAATGACAAAGAACTACTAATCGAACACATCAATTTAGTCCTGCTCGTTCCCAACACTATAAGTCAACACCAAATCATCGAGTGGCCCAGATATATCGCTTTTTCCTCCTAAGGGTAAAAAGGAACATATAACTTTGACTTATATGCTTGTACTATTTACTTAACAAATCACGAACAACAATACATTTTATAACATCAAGTTACTCATGCGTTTACGTATCGTCAATGCACAACCAACTTGTAAACAAGAACTCATATATCTCTGTTTAAAGATTATAAGATATTATCGTCTCAGAATTATTCGTGACAAATTCCATAAAGTAATTATCTGAGCGTGGGTTAATCCAATACTTAAATTCTCTATTTCAAAGTAGTCATAAATGTTGCACCAACACTATTGCCATGTCCAAAACTCTTTAGACAATCTACAATTCAATTCATGATAGTTATCATTCACTACTTAATTCTAAAAGTATGATCGAATGTGGATGTTTGAACAATCCAATTATTCGGGAAGTAAAACATGCAAAATGAAATACAAATTAAACAATAGACAGATGGTAGTAATCCAACTCATAAATAAATCTCCATTATTTAATCACCAAAAGCCAATTATATTACTTTGTTACAAGTTTCGAAACTAACTATCTAACTACTAAAACTAATATCATCCTTCAGACCAATGCTCCTAGCACGCTGAACATGCTTGACCATACTCAGACCCTTTGTGAGGGGATCTGCAGGATTCTCTTCTGATGATACCCCCTTCACGATGAGGTGACCTTCTTTTACTCTATGTATAATGAAATAGTATTTTCTGTTGATGTGTCTAGATCTACCATGATATTTTGGTTCCTTTGTTAAGGCAACCGCCCCTTCATTATCACAGAAAATCTTCATTGGCTCCATGGTGGCTGGAACAACTCCAAGGTCTCCGATGAAGTTCTTCAACCAAATAGCCTCCTTCGATGCTTCTCTTGCCGCTATGTACTATGATTCACAAGTAGAATCCGCCACCGCTCCTGTTTGGAACTTTTCCAGGTTACCACTCCTTCATTAAGGGTAAACACTCTGCCAGATTGAGAACGGAAGTTGTCTCAGTCTGTTTTAAAGGTGGAGTCACCATATCCAGTTACTCTCAATTTATCATTGCCACCAAGCACAACGACCCGGTCCTTGGTTCTTCGCAAATACTTAAGAATATTATGTACTGCTATCCAGTGAGCTATACCTGAATTTACCTGATAAAAACTGACCATGCTCAAAGCAAAAACCACATCAGGACGAATACATATCATAACATACATGATAAATCTAACGGCAAAAGCATAGCTCTACTCATTTATGCTATTTTTGCATTGGTACTCTGGCTCTGAGTCTTACTCAATTTGGTATTACTATGTATGGGTAGTTATCCTTTCTTTGAATTTTCCATACTAAAACTCTTTAGTACCTTTTCCAAGTATGTACTTTTACTAAGTCTAATTAGCGTTTTACTCCTATCTCTCAAAATCCTTATCCCCGGAATATAAGCAACCTCTCTTAGATCCTTCATAGCGAAACACTTTCCAAGCCAAGACTTAACCTCTTGCAAAGTTGGAATGTTGTTTCCTATAAGAGTATGTCATCAACATATAAAACCAAGAATGTTACTATACTCAAACTAGCTGTGATATATACATAAGATTCATCTTCACTTTTAAAGAACCAAACTCTTTGACTTTCTCGTCAAAATAAAGATTCCATCTGCGAGAAGTTTGTTTGAATCCATAGATTGATATTTCAAGCTTACATACTCTATTTGGATACTTTGCACCCACAAAACCCTCTGGCCAACTCATGTAAACATCCTCAACCAACTTCCCATTAAAGAAAGTGGTTTTGACATCCATCTGCCAACTTTCATAGTCATGAAACGCAGCTATGCGTAGCATTACCCCTAATAGATTTTTTATCTTAGCTACTGGTAAGAAGGTCTCATCATAGTCAAACCTAGGGTTTGAGTTAAGCCCTTAGCAACCAGTCGAGCCTTAAAGGTGTGTACCTTTCCATTCATGCCGGTCTTCTTCTTGAAGATCCATTTGCAACCAAATGTATTGCGACCTGGTACGTTATCAACCAAATTCCAAACTTGATTGTCATACATGGACTTGATCTCGTTGTCCATTGCCTCTTTCCATTTGGCTGACTTAGGGATTTCCATGGCTTCCTTGTAGTTAGATAGTTCATCCACATTTACTAGTGTACTATCACTGATAAATGTATCACCATCTGTAGTAATATGGAGACCATAAAACTCAGGTGGCATTCTAACTCTACTAGAATACCTAAGAGGTAATGACTCGTTAATTGGTTCAACTGGAATATTTTCCTCATGTTGAGCCCTAGCATTTTCAGAATTTCCTTCATGTTTGACTCTTGAATTTCTTCACGATCAATGGTACTCCCACTGTCCTCTTTGCATATGAGCTCTCTCTCTCTCTCTCTCTTGAAAGACTCTCCTTCGTGCTATGAAGACCACGTTCTCACTAGGTATGTAGAACAAATATCTAAAGGACTTCTGTGGGCAGCCAATGAAAAAACATCTCCCACTTCAAGGTTCAATCTTGTTATGAGTCTCTCTTCTAATGAAAGCTTCATAACCCCAAACCTTGATATGTGCCAACTAGGGAATGTTACTATACTCCAACTAGCTTTGATATATACACAAGATTCATCTTCACTGTTAAAGAACCAAACTCTTTGACTTTCTCGTTAAAACAAAGATTCCATCTGCGAGAAGCTTGTTTCAATCCATAGATTGATATTTCAAGCTTACATACTCTATTTGGATACTTTGCACCCACAAAACCCTCTGGTCAACTCATGTAAACATCCTCAACCAACTTCCCATTAAGGAAAGTGGTTTTGGCATCCATCAGCCAACTTTCATTGTCATGAAACACAGCTATGCGTAACATTACCCTAATAGATTTTATCATAGCTACTGGTAAGAAGGTCTCATCATAGTCAAACCTAGGGTTTGACTAAATCCCTTAGCAACCAGTCAAGCCTTAAAGGTGTGTACCTTTCCATCCATGCCGGTCTTCTTCTTGAAGATCCATTTGCACCCAAATGTATTGCGACCTGGTACGTTATCAACCAAATTCCAAACTTGATTGTCATACATGGACTTGATCTCGTTGTCCATTGTCTTTTTCCATTTGGCTGACTCAGGGCCTTCTATGGCTTCCTTGTAGTTAGCTGGTTCATCCAAATTTACCAGTGTACTATCACTGATAAATGTATCACCATCTGTAGTAATATGGAGACCATAAAACTCAAGTGGCATTCTAATTCTACTAGAACGCCTAAGAGGTAATGACTCGTCAATTGGTTTAACTGGAATATTTTCCTCATGTTGAGCCTTAGCATTTTCAGAAATTCCTTCATGTTTAACTTTTGAATTTCTTATCGATCAATGGTACTCCCACTATCCTCTTTGCATATGAGCTCTCTCTCTCTCTCTCTCTCTCTCTCTCTCTCTCTTGAAAGACTCTCTTTCGTGCTATGAAGACCATGTTCTCACTAAGTCTGTAGAACAAATATCTAAAGGAATTTTGTGTGCAGCCAATGAAAAAACATCTCCCACTTTGAGGTTCAAGCTTGTTGTGAGTCTCTTTTCTAAGGAAAGCTTCATAACCCCAAACCTTGATATGTGCCAACGAGGGAACCTTCCTTTTTCACATCTTGTGAGGTGTTTTGGCAACTT